AACTATAAAATTTAATATGTTTCAGTCTAGTAAATTATAATTTTAAAACCTGAACTCTCTTTTCCTTGGCATCGCTCAATAAATTATTTAATTCTCATTAAATAAAAATACAAAATTCTCTATTTTATATTTAGTGGTGATAATTTAATAAATATTTAAATACATTAGCCATGAAATGGCAAAGTAACAGCCATTGGCTTAAAGTTTTAAAACAAACAACTTTTATTTTATTATTACTTATATTTCATAAGAATCCTACCTTCTCTTATTGGGAGCCGGTCAAAATCCCGACAGATTAGCCTGCATTAGAGTTAGGATTAGCATAGTGTTAGTCAATTTTTGTCGGGATTTTTGTTTGTCGGGATTCTGTTTGTCGGGATTTTGACCCAAACCCCTTTTACACGGCTAAGCACATGAGTATTAGGGTGTTTTCCATCTCCAAGACAAAAGATAAAACTATAAAATTTTCATCCGTAGGAAATAAATCAAAAAAATCATAAAAAATTAAGGATGAAGTAGTAAATAATATCAACTCACCTATCATTAGTTGATTCCCACACCGGCTGATAACTGGGAAGTTCACGTCTATAGTAGTCATATTCATAGTCAGATTCATATTCATAGCAGTCAGATTCAGGGTAGCAAGGTTCATAATAGTAGCCAGATGCATGTGAATCCCTTAAATAATTGTTACAATTTCTCAAACCTAAAGGATTGTATCCACCAATTATTTTTGCTGAATCAGAGATTTTAATTAATACAAGAACGACGCAACAATCATTATTCTTGATAAAAGTATCATAATCAAACCCGTCACGTGTTGCTCGGTAAGTAAGTGTAAACTGATAAGAAGATGGTTTCCCAGTAAATGTAGTGCTATTTTCGATCCAATCAGTGATAACTATAGCTTTGTCCTTTTCAATAATAACAGAATCGATACTAATAGATATACAACGCGAGGGTAACTTTGAAACTTCGAGATTTATATTGGCCATGAGATAAGCCACTAAATCTTCGTAAATATTTTCTGGGATCGCTTTTTTATAAGGCCTTACATGAAAATAAAATTCTTCTCGTGATATTTCGTGAAATCGAATATATGATATGAACGGATCGAGAGATTTCTTGAATGACAAAAATTCATTTTCTCCCCAATTGATGACTGGTTTTCCTTTAGAAGCAATAGATTGAGCCGTTCCCCATTTAACTAAATATTTCCAAATATCAATTTCTTCAATATTCATATAATCTCTCTTAATAAGCATTAACAAAATATCTTTATCTAAAGTCAGATATTCCTTTAATTCAAAGAACGGTTTTGGATTTTTACAAATAGTTTCCATTATATAATCTTGGATTATCTTGCAACTTTGCAGCTTGAAAACTGTGTGCAAAACTACGATAAAATTTTCTTGCAACCAGGATGATTCTTTATCAATTAGCTAAATTAAATTAAATTCAATTAATATAAATTAATTTTTATAATATTGTTT